TGCATACTGCTCATAAAACAGTTAACTGGTCTATAAAAATTGATCAGAACCTTTTTTTCCTTTTCAAGGTATTCTTGCTGACTCCACCTCTGAGTGTGAATAAAGGAGACAATGTTAACATTTCCTTCTCGATGGTTCGCTCAAAGGAAAATCATCGACTTATGGATATGGAGTTCACCAATGAATTGCATGAGTTATCTGGCAGGAAGCACCCAGCAGTCACAACCAAGATGTACTTAGAGTAGACAAGGTATGGAGTATAATATGTTTATGAATTTCACTTATTCAAAAAAATTCGTAGTATATATCATATATAAATGCATGGGAGGTATTGAAGATATGCCACTCTATTTACTATTGTCTGAGAATCTACCTCTGGTTCATGTGGGCATGGATGCTCACACATGAAGCATGCTGCATTTCTTTGATTCATAACAGGCCTTGATCTAACCCTCGTTCATTTTACATTTATGCTGTGACAGTTGAGTAGAGACCTGATTCATCATCGATAGACGGAAAGACGGAACTGGCTACCATGTGCCCTCACAGCGCTGTTACTGAACCTTTGCTCAGAAGCTGAGCATATGTAAGTGCCTCAGGGCCCCTGTGTGCTTGTTATACCCATGATGTGTACTTTGAGACCATGAGGCATGTTGACGTGCCAAAGATTCTGTTGTATTGGTATTATCTTATTGTTTGATTGCTCAAGTAACGGGAGGAGCAATTGCTTCACAACATTTAATGTGGTAGCAGATATTGACCGACATTACAGTTTTTAGCAACATTCAGTGCGGAATTTTGTTGAATTCATTCAGTTTGTCCAAGGCTGATGCATGATGCAGCTCATCTGTGCCCAGGCACCAATCCAACTGTTGCAACGAGGCATCCTGAGGAAGTGAGGAGGTGTCTACTCCCTTGATTGAATCTTCCTTAAGACCAGTGCAACTAAAATTATGTAGCTGAAATTCCTCCAAAAAAAAACTACAGGAAAAATCTGAGAAATGTATCGATATGTCATTTAAACTCCTAAATCTAGTAGGAAAATAAGGAGAAAATGGTATGGTATAATATATGTTGTTGTGCAATTTAAACTTATATGGGTACCCTTTTTGGAAAGGAAGACCATAAACAAGTTTAAAGAACGATAGGTGTCATTTGTAAATCCTATGTGGTGTCCATTTAAAAATCCATGTGGGGAAAATTGGGAGATACGACATATAATATCAAAACTCATCCAAAACACTTTTGGGAAATACGAGGATCATGGTGTGTTGATATGGTGTTAAAACTCCTGCAGAACCCAATGGAAAAATCAGGAGAAAAGATACAACATATATTTGTTATTGCCTCAATGCCTCATTGTAACTCATGAGTAAACCTTGAGGTAAAGCTCATAACAAAATTTAGAGAACAATAGTGTGATCTTTGGATCATGATAGGAATAACCTCCTCTAAGACCCAATGGGAAAAATATGAAGAGGAATATACGTCTTTGATATCCTTAAAAAACTCATGTGAAGAAAATAGAAGATATTGAATATCCCCTTTAAAAATCCTGACGGGAAAATAAAAGATATGACATTGTTGTACTGATATTGTCTCACTAAAAACCTTTTATGAGAAACCTTTGTGAGAAAAAGCTAAGAGAAAAAAGAGGATAACATGATGTTTGAACATGTTATATTTCAGGAGAACTCCCCTTGAACCTTGCAACTATCGAAGTCTTTGAATGTAGTGTGGACCTAGCGAGTGAACCTACGAATTTATCGCTACATTACTTTTGCAAGATGTTTATTTCCAATATATGTTGCAATTTATGGGGATAAAACATTTTGGGGGCAATAACTGCTCCGGTACTCCCTTCTGAAAATTAGCACGAATCTTAAGGCCAACATGTAACTAATTGACCAAGTTATTAATTACTTTCCACTTGGGCCTCGTATGGGCCTGACCCTACCCGCTCCCAACCCGTTTTCTCTTTGATCCCGGCGCGCGAGCAACGATCACGGCAGCGTCAGCTGCGCACCTGCGCCCACCTCGCCGTCAGGGAAGGGTCAGCATAAAAGTATCTGGTCCACCATGTGGTCCATAAACGGCTGCACCACTCGCCAGCCGGTTCGTCGCCGGAGACGTACAAACCATTCAACCTCCCCGTGCAACTCTGCCTGGACGGATCCAGCCATCAACAAGACAACAAATGTAGAGTGAGACCGTACGTACCGCAGGCACTCCAAGGCGATGTTGGAGAAGTGAGCAAGAACCTTCTCTCTCTTGGTTTCTGGTTGATATCCAGGAGGACGTAGTTCTCGCCTTGTTTCTTCAGCTGGTCATCGATGCTCCTCGCAACCACGTTTCTTGGTGCCAGAAATGCTAGCGATTGATAACTCGGAAGAGTTCTGCGCAGGACTAGGCCTGGGCAGTGCGGGCTGGGTCTAACCCATGAGTCAAAGGGTCAATAATTAAATTAACTAATGAAGTGACTGCTTCGAGATTTGTGCTAACTTTTAAAGAGGGAGTACAGGAGCAGTTGCCTAAATTTATTCATATTGCTCTTATATGACTTGTTTGCACCTTGACAATACAAGCAACCTTATCTTTGTGATAATTGTTGGTGATCCTATGGAATGACATTTGATTACTCTATGAAGTCATGCATATGGGATGCTTCACAATGATAAGTGGAAATGATGGCATTGTGGGGGATCAAATAGCCCGTATCTAGATATCCCACTTAGGACGTATCTCAATTTATCTAATAAATCAAGATCTTTTGATGCCGTAAAGATATCTATGGATATCCCACTTGACTCCCACCTTGCAGTGTTGTAGAAGTTAAGTTGGTTGTTTTATGCTAGCAAGGCGTTTGCAAATGCAATATCATGCCTGTGCAATTTGCAAGATGCATGAACGCTTCTACGACATTAAGGTTGTCATCCTTGGGTCTAAATGGATACAAATCCATACTTTAGGGATGGAATGACCACAAGTGTTGATGCATATGATGTCCACTATTATTTGGATATTGATAAACAATGTCAATTGGTTATTAGTATACTGATATATGGGCTTAAGCTAAGACTTAAGCGTAATTTGGTTTTATCTAAATATCTCATCTCAAATTCCGTCTTAAAGGCCAATTCTGCATGATGGAAATTGTACCTAAAATAAATGCTTAATTATTTATGTATGTTGATGGTATTAGTATAATCAATATGTGTTGAGATGATGGGGAATCCAATTTGGAATTTATTTACAAACACATATATGCAATCATGATTAGAGTAATCCTTCTATAACAGTTGAGATGGCTCTCAAAGCGCAATGGTACCAGTTTGGTCTAGATGCTCTGATGATGGAAGCTCTGCCATGTCGTGATGGCTTGGCATTCGCGTGAGATCTGGGGAGGCAGAAAATTCAGCTGGAGACAGACAGCCAAGAGTTACTAAAACTCTGGAAGGCAGGTCCCAACCAGAGATCGAGCATAGCAGCGATCATCAAGGAGTGTCATGACATTAGCTGCAAGGAGTGTCATGACATTAGCTGCTGTTTTTCTGATTTCAATATCTTGTATTCTCCTAGGTCATGTAATCGAGTTGCCGATATGTTGGCCAAACAGGTCTCATGTAGCAATAGAGTTGTGTGTGTGGCATCGGGCGCCAACCTGTGTAGCTAACCTGGTGATCGATGATTGTACCCCAGCTGTGTAGCTAACCTGTGTAGCAAAAGAAGAAGAAGAAGACCGGTGTTTTTATTTATTTTCTGGAAACTGTAGTTTTGTACAGACGTAGAGTTTCCCATATAAAGAAAGGCTTTGAATCTTTTCGCAAGCAATTAGGCAAATCAAAATATGCAAGAGCACAATTTTGATTCATAAGAACTTGCCTCAGTATCTACTAGGTGTCTTACATTCCTCAACAGCAAAGCCTACTCTTTAAACGAGTCAATAAACTGTGATTGATTGGCATAGCAGTCTACAGGAAACCACAAGTAGATACGAAACATAAGCAAACTAGTGAAACGGCACCATACATACACTGATATAAGGAAACAATGCAATTCCTTGCTGCATGGTGGAGAATTTCACCAGCATATAATTCATACAAAAGCACAGGCTGCATAGGAAAAGCATTTTTTTTTTTTTGGGGGGGGGGACAATGCAATTCTTACTGCCTCGTGCGAAATTTCACCAATAAAAAGTAAAGCTGAAAGCCCCAGTTTTTGCTCACAGATGAAGTGAAAATCACCAAAAAAATACTGATTCTTGTTCGTTTTATTACAATTAAAACCTAGAAAAGTAACTTTGGCACCATGGTGTGGCTGGTGGGAACAAGTCACTGAACCAGCTTCCCCATCCTACTCGGTGGACTTGACGATGAAGTTCTGGCTGCTGATGGGGTTCATGACAACCGGTGGCCCAGCAGTGCGAGGCCAGGCCTGGAACAGTGCAACTTGGTGTCTGTGGCTTGCCACCACTCCTCAGAAACAGTCTTGGGGGTGGTACCTGTGTGCCCACAAAGAATGACGCGTCTTAAATCAAAATCTACAAGGGTTGAAGCACAGATCTCGGACATAGCCTGGGATTGGCAAGAAGGCAACGATCCTCCTCGGCGTGCCGCCGATGTCATGGTCTGGTGGCTCTCCTACGGAACTCCCCTGGCGGGTGGCGAGGCCGTTCTACCTCCCAACGGCAGCCCGGTTTGCCCGTCCAACAAGTTCTCACTGGAAGCGCTGGCTACGGCCATGGGACAATCCCTGTTTATAAGTTTGCATACGAGGATGACCGTCTATTTGAACTACACTAGCATTTCTCTACAACAAAGTAAAGTGTCTTAATAAGATCGATGCTCCGGAAATGCCATTCAATCATTCATCACACAGAACTAGCACATAGATCCTCCAGAAAATGTCATTCAGTCCCAATGCCAAAGATTCCAATGCCGAAACACAATTTAGGCACAAATCGGCACTATCTGGTTTTGTCACTTGTTCCTAACTACCACTCAATAAATATCTATCCAGTCAGCTTCATCACCACCACCATCATCATCATCTGGGCAGAAGTTGAGGTAAATAGCTTCATCTGACACGTCATGCACCCAATGGACATATATTCCATTGTATTCGATGATCTCGTCGTTGTTGTAGAATTCTCGGTCTGATAAATAAAATAATTCAACAAATTCATCGCGACCACAAAAACCTTCCACGGTTGGATGGACAATTCTATTTGCTTCATGCTCACAATAAATGCAGCGAGTTTTTTCTGCCGTGTATAAGAAAAAAAAAACATTTGTAAACTATAATTAGAAGGATAAAAAATGATGGAGAATGTTTTGTTATTCAATTAGGAACACGCCCTAGAACATATTTCAATGAGCTGAATCACAACTAATTTGAACCTATCAAAGGATCAATGGAATCCTAAGAAATTAAGTACTATGTTACTATAAAACAGCAAAAGGGAACTCTTTAGTTAAGTATAAGAAGACATTAGTAACAACAGACAAGTACAGTTATGCTGATATTTGGATTAATAATAGGCAATCAAACAGTGCAGATCGATTGTGGAAATGATCAAAAGATGAAAGAGCTAAATCTACTTGACGGATAATCAGTGTTGCAAATAGTGAGAAATTGCATTGATCTTGGCTTGCCACACGCTTTATTTTATTTTGGAAAAGAGAGAATCTCTGTTTTTGTTGAAAGCATAATTGCTGCACACTTTATTGATGTGTATATGTGTAACTTTCATCTGCAAATGTCAGCATATCAAATATCTATGGAAATCTATCTGAAACTTGTGCAAGGATAAATACACCTAGCATTTCAGTTGGCAAAAATTGTGTGAACTTTGGCATTGCCTCACGACTAAGTAAATGGTTTATAGACTGCTTGTCTGCTATTTTCTTGTCAGGTCTGATCCATCACAAGGTCATGAAATATTTTTTTAGGGTTTGTGAATTTATATTGGGTATTTGGGTCTAAAAATTTTATGCTGCTCTCCGTGTCCTTGTGGCTAGCAGGTGAGATGGAGATCTCAGAGAGAGAACATGGAGATGAGTGAGTGAGAAAATGTTACCATAAGGTGGAGAGGTGACTATTGGAAGTTAATCATTTGCAGGTGCATTCCTGCTTTTAGCTATTCTCCATTCTTCCTACCTATCTTGTTGGACATGATATATCTGCATGCAGATTGCTTTAGGGGTGTTTAGTATATGAGGCTCATGCATCTTTCTAAAATAATGTGACTGACGTGTCATGTGGGATCGTGGACTTCTGTACCTTGTACTTATAGACCACTTGCAGATCCCTCCCCCCACCCATTGATTTTAAGGTACTCACAGAATTCCAGAAGTCGTCACTTGTATTGCGGCAATCAAAATTAGTGCATGTATTTGTCATGTACCGTGTTGAGCTGGACAATGGAGTCGGAGAGGTGTGGGCTGCGCCATATGCTGGACCAGATGTGGGCCAAAGAAGCAAGCCATGGATGCATTACAAAAGGAGGAGCTAGCAACAGATGAGCATCGAAGAACAGATCACGAACCCGGCGGCGAGTTCATGCCCGAGGCTAGCTTTGGCTAGATGTTATCTCCCTTTCCCCCTCTTCCCTTAACCTACCTATGTATCTAGAACCTTCTAGAGACAATTTGTTGTTGCTGTAATTGGATTTGGTCACTCAACATCGAGGTTCGTGACATCTGGCCTCAGAGCTGTATTTCCTCGGGCCGACCTCTCGGATTTCGCCATGGACGCCGCACAGCTTGAGCGTTGCAAGGGGATGATGGAGCAAATTTTAGCAGATATGAGAAAGCTAGCTGTTGATTTGGAGAACACCGTGCTACTACGTGCGGTCAATCAGACCAGCAGCATCTCAGCTGCCTCCTCCAGCAAGTTGACGGCGACCTCCTCAGCGTCACCCATGTCTTCCCCGACCCCCGCTCCACCTCTAGACTTCGCCCTCGCCATCCCTACTGCCAACTTCGACGACCACGAGCGCACCCTCTCTATCTCCACCACCAACTCCGACGACCGCGAGCACGAAGTCACCGCCAGCAGTGTCGCCCACTCCTTCCCCAACCTTCACGCCATCTGTGACGGTCCCCTCAGTGTCGCCCACTCCTTCCCCAACCTTCACGCCATCCCAGGAAGCTCACATTGCCATCAGCATCGCCCCCACGGAACATCCCTTGGAGATGGCATGTTTTTTCCTGTCAACTGTTGTTAGCAAAGGGCCTGAGATGTTTATTTATCCCACCCGTCAGTTTACTTGTTTCAGTGATGACATGGAGTGGCATCTTGCATGTCCACCAATGGCACAACTGCTGTTTATGGGCGGTCGTGCACAGGTACGCTTGATGCTGTGGCTATTCTTTTGTTTTCTGCTAGCCATAGTGCAAGGAACAAAACACTTTTCTCTAGCTGCAGTTCAGAGAACCTTCTCTTGGCCACCATTTGTTATTGACACAATAACAAGAAGAGAAGATTTATGCCCCAGATTTTGGTGTTCATCCCAATGCAATCAGATTGTTATGTTTGTGCAGTTGAAAGCTCCTTGGCTGCCCCCCGTGGTCTTGAGAATTTCAGTTTGCAACTAATCTCTCTATGGTCACTGTCTGACATAGGAGATATGACAGTTAAATGGCTGGACATGTTGACGATGGTTAGAAGTGTCAACTACAATAATCACAAGAGCAAGTGTGGTTGCATTGAAATTGCAAGGTATATCCTTATTGTTGGTGTTGGTACAGTTATATGCTCTCACAAGGAAGAGAATTGGAAACTGAGTCTGTTAGCTGAAAATTTGAGCTGTGCACAGATTAGCATTGTTGTGTTAGTTGCAGTGACCATTGCAGAATAGCGGAGAAGAGTGGCCAAGACTATGGTCATCTTTCAAGTTCAGTCAATATGTTGAAGTGTGTATGGGAAAGTGTTTTAATCAAGAGGATAATTGGGAATGCATAATGTATATTTTTGAACCTCCAACTATCAGCTACTATGTTGAGCTTAATTTTCATGAATACTCTGATTTGGTCATCTATGCATTGCTAATGTTTTGGTGCTGCCAAAGTGGACTACAATGTATACATAAATGGCCACCACGACCACCACAAAAGGATTTGAAGAACTATCAATATATTGTTCTGCACTTGGGCTGTGAGCAATTGTTCAGCAGAGAAAAACAGAAGAGCTTTTTGTTGCAAACTATGATTATGAAGAGCTAATTCAATGGAAACCCCAAGGCTATTGTTTGTGTGCAGAAACCATGTTAACTGTTGTCTTGTCAGGAACCTCATTACAAACACAGTTACTACTAGAATCGCATCACAGCCCCTGCCGGAAATGGTGAAGTTTTCAAGTCCAGTGCTAAGTGCAGATTGTTAATCATTCATGCAACTGATATCCTACTGAAGAACAAGAAGGCGGATCTGAATCAAAGGTCTTCATTTGGAGAAAGAAGAAAATGTGTGTTAATCAAGCAGCTACTTGGCACTAATCAAGCAATTCATTTGTCAGAGAATTGTGTTTCAGTTTCAGAAACTTCTAGTGTGGCTGCAGCAGATGTTCAGTGGCATGCTATGGACTAGCATCATCAAGGATCAACAGGTGATATTGTGGGATCCAGGTGGTGCTGAATTCTTATTAAACAGAAGTAAATATCAAGACTACTCTGGAGAAAGAAAAGCGGTGCTCCCTGCTTTGTTTTCTATGAGGAGGAAATCAAGGTTTGATGGTATTTCTGCAGACTGTTATGAAAGCGGCTTGGGGACAAGCCGAAATTTTAGGATGGGAGGATGGCATGTACCCTGTTGGGTTGGACAATGGACTCGGAGACATGTGGGCTGTGCCATATGCTGGACTAGATGTGGGCCAAAGAAGCAAGCCATGGATGCATTACAAGAGGAGGAGGAGCTAGCAACAGATGGGCGTCGAAGAACAGACCACAAACCCGGCGGCAAGCTCATGCTCGAGGATAGATGTTGTCTCCCTTTCCCCTTCTTCCCTTACCCTACCTATGTATCTAGAACCTTCTAGTACCTTCTAGAGACAATTTGTTGTTGCTGTAATTGGATTTGGTCACTCAACATCGAGGTTGACAGTATTTCCCGAAACGCTAAATGCCTTAGCAGCCGCTATAGCTGCCATAGCGGTTTGAGCAAGTCGACGCTAAATACCATACCATAGCCCGCTATTTGCAACATTGGGATAATATTAAAACAGAAATTGTGAAGTCATGATTAGAACATACCAGATTCATGTTTTTGCGGAATCACAGGAACACACCAGCAAGTATCGTCACCGTCCTTGCCACATTCAGCAAAAAAGAGGGTTGGAGAGTCAAATGGACGGTCCTTGCAAACCGCTAGAAAGTTTAGATGAGAATGAAAGTACTTGTCATGACTCCAGGGATTGTATTTTCCAATTTTTCCATCTGTGCTGCTCACTGGACCAGATACAAATTCATTTACACCAAAGATGATGTGAAGCTCAAAGAGTTGACCCTCCTTCAAACATGAAAATCAAGATGTTAGATTGAAAACCGGGTAGTATGAGACAAATACAGAAAACAGACATGAAGCGAAGCTACAGAGTAGGTAAAAGTGCGGAAGGGAAGAAACTAACCACAGCAGTCTTATTTAACTTGTCTAAAGCGTCTCTGACCATACTAGTGACTCGGTCATGTTGACCCCAGAAGCTATCGCTGCACTGACACATATTAGCATACACCCTTTTCTTGACCTTTGTTAGGGCTATATTTTGTTGCTGGTGTGTGCCAGAAGAGGAGGAACGGCTTTCTAACACCATGCAAACCGCACTGATATCCTCGGAGGATGGTGGGTAACCAACAAAACGCTGTGATATAAGAAACTCCGATTGTGCAAGTGGGGAGCAGTGAAATGCTGCTGTGCCCGCAGCAGTGGCACTGACAGGCAGAGACAGGGTGGGACTGTCATCAGATAGACAGGTAGTACTGGTGGGCCAAGCAGAGCGTTCATCATAAGCAGCTAGCAAGTGGACATCGGTCACCAGCAAGGATTCAATGGCCTGATCAGGTGTAATGCCTCGGTGTGCAGTGCACAGGAATGATATGAGTCCATAAAGCGATCGGGCCACAATACGCCAAAGCAACTGGGTGCTAATCATGGATACTTCAAACTGTTTGCTCGGTGGAAAGTGTTCCTCGTACCAGATAGTGTTGATAATGATTGGAGACAGGATCCAGTGGACCATAGCAGTAGCCGCCCATGAACATGCTGCGATGATAGCAACTACAGTACGCAGCTTCACCTTCGGTAGCCTGGCTAAGGGCTACCTCCTACCAATCTCTCAAAATTTGGCCTCCTACTTTCACAAATAAGGATCTCTCATCTAGATTTCAGCCTTCATTTCTCTCTGCACTCCAACCGAACTCTCTCTCATTTCAACCTTCCTAATTTCTCTCACCTATATTTTATACATAACTTCTAACTATCAAGTCCAGTATTTTATATCTAAACCGTGTTAGTATTATTGGAATGGATACTTGTTAACAACATTTTTTTACGGCTAAATATTGGATGAATTATTTTTTTTCAAATAATTGGCAACTATTATTTTTTTCTCTCCTCACGCCACTCTCACAGCTCCCTCACAACACTCCACGCTACTACGGGTGGGGCAACGTGGGCCGGTTGGGAGCAGCGGCAAAGCTTGATTAAATAATGCCAAAGCCTGCAGGGCTGGTTTGGAGCAGTGGCGGCCACGCGTATAGGTGCGACAGCTACAAGATGGGGCTGCACTCGGGCGTGGGAACCGGGCCGTTAGTCTCCCAGGCGGATGAGGGATCGGTTGAGAGTCTCCCACATCTAGGAGATGAGGAGAGAGAAATAGGAGACCCTCATCCATCGGGGTTTGGATGAGGGATTGGTTGGAAACGAAATTTTGTGTTTGAACCCTCAAAAATAAGATAGGAGGCCTCTATGTAAAACCCATGAATTTTTGCAAGGAGCATCCTCTTCACGTGTGCCCTGGTGGGAGGCAGCACTTTAGGTGAAGCTTGAATTTCAGGATTTGCTTGTTCAAAACGCCTCTTGGCAAGGTCCCATGATACATTCCGCAGAAGAACTGGGTCTAATGCAATTGTCTCCACAGACTTGATTGCCTCCAGTGCACGAAAAGAAGAAAGTGTCCTGCATATTGGCCTTGTGTGTCGAAATTGACACAGGGCTGAGCGCTTCCACAGCAGGCGGTGAAACGAGCACTTCCACAATAGGTGAAACGAACTTCCACCCTCTCACGAACCTCTGCGGATCTGGGTGCTTGGCAGCAACCGCTGCACATCTGAGGGCGACCACGACTGCTGCCTTGGTCGTTTGGGAGCTGTAGTCGAACTGCATGTTGCGTCTTCTGATGATGAGGAGCGAGGCCACCAAGGGGTCCGCGCCAGCAGCGTCAAGGTATTTTCGGGTTTCGGCGTCGGGGAGGTAAGGGAAGACACAGGTGAGGAAAGCGGTGAGGCCGTCGAGCGACCTCTGGGCCATCTCCGCAACCTTCGCTTCTACTTCTTCTGCTGGCGGAAGCGGCTCTCTTCCTCTTTTTACTCCTCACGCCCGTAGAGGCACATGCTCTCTTCCTCCTCCTCCTCCCGACGGCGGGGACGGCTCTCTTCCTTCTTCTCCTCCCGCCAGCGGAGACGGCTCTCTTCGGGCAGCAGGACACCCTCAGGAGGAAGAGATGGCGAGGTTCATGATGATGTTGTTGCGAGGATCCAGAAGGCCGAAGCAAAATCCCATCTCGAGTAAACCCTTGTGACTGTCAGGCTCACTACGGTCAGATATGATTTTCAGGTATGGCTAATGGACATTTATAGGAGCAGTTCAGTCAGCCGCCCTTATCATATCGTCTCTATAGGCGGCTGGTGTTACCAGCCACCCCTGCAAATCGATTTGCAGGCGCGGCTGATAACACCAGCCGCCTCTATAAATCGATTTGTATGGGCGGTTACAGTACTAACCGTCCCTACAGTGTATTTTTTCGTAAAAAAAATTCAAATTACCAACACGTGCTCCCCCAAATCATCCTGTGACGAGTAAAATGCATGATCGAGTATCCTGGCAAACTTGATTGTAATATTGTGGCCCAAACAAGATTGTTTAACCAAAAGTTTCTAAACATCTTCTATACTACAAGAATCACAATAATAACAAATAGATTCATATTTTGACAACAAAACATATATCTATATCACAAAAAGATCAAGCAAGCATAGTACATTGAGCTGTGTAGATGGCAGCAGCTGCTAGCATAGACGGGCAGAACTGGAGCATCTCGTATTCGACAATACTCAGCTCGATCATGAAGAAAGACAGGAGTTCGAGCTGTCCAGTAGTATAAAGATTTTGTCAGGATTTATGTACTTGTACAGCAAACCTATAGCTTACATAATTTATTGATCACAAAAAAGAAGTATGTATTAGTATCTTACCTTCTTCTCAGGTTGTGCTGCCTTTAGAAACCTTCTCATGAAACAGTATGGAGTCGGCACCGACATATTGAAATTAAGTGTGTTCACTATCCTCCTCTCCTGTAGAGATTTCAATGTCAGTTATCTTTTTTTTTTTTTGCACTAAAAATCAACATGCAGCACATTTTTTACCATTTCAAGAATATCAGCCTTGTGTAGGCGCGATCACAGATTAAGATCAGATCCTCGACCACCGGTATGCTCACTTCTTCATACTTGCACGCGAGCAACATAGCAGTTACACCAACTAACTGAAGCTTCTTCCGCACCATAGTTTCACGTGCCAAGAATCTATCTATGATGTTCACAGTTAGGAAAAGGGTCTCCTCCAACAGCTCTAATTTGTAGTGTACCTGCATTGAAAAAAGAAATAAAACATGAAATTTTAAGGTCTTACAGAGCATATGAATAATACTAAATCGAAAGCTTTAGACGTTTGCTTAAAATCCCCACCTCTATCAACCAGTCAATTAGAATGCCACGCATGTTCTCATTTATATCGGTTTGGCTTGACATGTAATTTGTAGGGACACAGCTTGCACCCTTTGTACAAGTGTTGCAATCAGATTACAAATGCCAACAACAGGGTAATTGCAAATATCTTCAGGTTCAAGATCAGAGTTCTACCTCAGTTTTCCTGTAAAATATGTAAATTTCACCTACATAGTCAACCATAGCCAGGGAGTTTCATGCATCACAACTGTCAATATCGGGTGCTGCCTCCTCAATATCTTCCATCTCGATCTCTTTCAGTTCAAAGTTCATCTGAAATGACTTGTATTAATGACAATTACCAAATAGACCAATCTATTATGCTGAAACCCTTAATTCCAACTAACATGAAGAGGCAAGCAAAACCATTCTAGCATCTGTTCTAATCTGACAAGTATGAAACTAGTCTGAAAGAACAGTAGGAGTTTAAGGTTTAACCACATCAAGTCCAGAGTACAGAGATTAAAAATTTTCAATTTTTCACCACTTGTTTGATCATAGTAGATATCAGATGAAGTGAAAGAGATATACAAGCAAAAGCTAAAACACTACCTAGAATCTTCCATTCAACTATTGCAAGACTGAACACCAATCAATTTGGGAGATTCCTGATTGGAGGAAGACAGAAGCAAAACGCCAACTACGGAATTTATAAACAGACCCTACTAACAGTACATGAATGAATAGGACGATGTTTTTACAAGACCTAGACCCTACTGTGATATATCAGTAGCTGCAATACTCATTAGAGGTTGACAAACCAAACCATGTAACCTTAATCACAACAATTTATGTAGAGTTCATTCATGCAAGTACAAAGTAAACAGAGTTAGCCCACAAAGGAGATCATCATGTTGTACCAAGGTGTTGAGATGTTGTTCATTTAAATAAGTAATCCATCATTTGTTCTTTACACAACCTTTTTCTTGAGTTTATTATTATACATATATGCTTTTGCATGATAAATAAATGCTGTGAAGTATTCAAAGTAAAAAGGATGAACTGTTAAAACTAACATATTTCTGGGGTTTGGCATGAACTGTTAAAACTAACAGCAAGCTAAATAATAGCAGTATAGATCAATAAGTGAAAGTATAAGAGAAAGCAATACAGTTTGATTGGCAAGCCTGAATTATTTGGAACTCATTACAACAACACGTGAAATAATAGCAGTATAGATTTATACACTTAAAATTGGTAAGCATAATACATTTATACACTTAAAACTTGCAGTTAGATCAGATCCAATTACAGATAGCCAAATAGCTTAGTCGGACGGCATACCTAGGTGCTCCTGCAAACGTACGGCGCTGGGTGCTCCTGCTCGACTCGGTCGAATGCGCTGGGCGTTGGACGACAGTGCCGCCTGGACGAGCGACTGGCCACGGGTGTCCACGGCAAGCGCTGCTCAGGTGAGCTCCCATGGCACTAGAGCGCTCGGCGCTCGTAGTATTGCCTCCCCGCGACCCGCATCGAGCTCATCCTCGCCGCCGCAACCGCTTGCCAGATCCAGGCTCGTCCTCGTAGGATCAGGCTTCTCCTCGCCGGATCTGGTGGTGGCCACTCGGATCTAGGCTGGTCCTCGCCGGATCGAGCTCATCCTCGCCAGATCTGGTGGTGGCCGCCACCATATGCTTCATGCGGCCTCCAGCAGCGTGCCGAAGGAGAGAAGGTGAAGGGGACTGCGCCACCAAGTCCCGCCACCGCTGGAGCTCGATGGGAGGCCGCGCCACTGAGCCACGGCACCGAGCTCCACCACCGTGCCTCTGCTAGGGGGAGGGGACAGGGTCCTGCGCGCCGCCGGCGTAGGAGGAGGGGACGGGCCCCCGCGCGACTGCCGGCGCTGGAGTAGGGCACCGAGCCGCATGCGACTGCCGAGAGGCCACGCCCCAGAACCCCCGCCACCCTATGGTGCGCCGCTGAGTGCCGCCGCGTGGAGAAGAGGGGGGTGCGACGCCGTGCACCTCTGCTGGAGAGGGAGGTCCCGTCACCACGTGGGGGAGAGGGAGGAGCGGCGTGGGGGAGAGACGGAGGGGCTCGGAGGAGAGGGAGAGAGAGAGGGGGTCGAGATAGAGAGAGAGATAGGAGGGTAGTAGATATTTTGGATGGGTGACTTAGCGACTGTACGTGGGGCATTTGTAGGGGCGGCTCAATCACCAGCCGCCCCTACAAATAGAAACACCGAGGGCGGCTGGTGAGTGAGCTGCCCCTACAAATCCTACCTATTTATAGGGGCGGCTCATATCACCAGCTGCCCCTGCTGTTTCATTTGTAGGGGCGGCTGGTCTCGTGGATCCTGAGCATGTCACTGTAGGGGCGGCTCCATCACCAGCCGCCCCTAAAAAATTTATCCCTTTGCTATAAACCGTTTTTCACGTAGTGGCGGCAGGCAGTTGTAAATCCTCTCAAACTTGGCATGAACTGCTAAGATCTCATCCTTCTTCTTGTGCATGTGGAATTGGTCATCTACCTCGCTCGGACCATAAGCACGGACGCCCCGAGGTAGGTTGAGGTGGATTTGGCCAAGCATGGAGGAAGGATTTGGGGATCGGGTGGCGCCGTGGCGGCGGGCGATGGAGTAAGGATTTGGGGATCGGGTGGCGGCGGCCGAGGGTTTGGTGGGGATTTGGTGGGATATTTAACATTTTACCATTATTACTAATGGCGACTCCTGAGATAGCAGCTTTAGGTTTGGCACTACGTTTTTAGCATCGGAGAGAGAAAAACGATACACATTTGTCACTTTTGCTTGCGTGGCACGCCAGGTCCGCTGTCCTTCTCGGATCCGAGTCAGCAGGCCGATGTAAAATGACTGTCCTACCCCTGGCATCTGTATTACCCCGCGGCCCACTCCACTCTCTCCTGCCCGCTCCCCTTTCTCCTTTCTCTAGTCCGCGCGCGACGCTCGCCAGCCATCGCCGTCGCCGCCGCCCCCCACCGTGAGACATGTCCCTATCCCATTACGCTGAGTCATCTACAAGGGCGAGGAGTCGGGTCCAAGGTGCCTGGAGCTCCCTTATCGCCTCCGTCTGTGTGGATTCAGTAGGTGAGTTGAGCGGCTTCCCGTTGATCCCTTGCCCAGACTGCGGCCTTACTCGGGTGGTGGAGGGGTGAACCAAGAAGGATGGCGATAACCATGGGCGTCTGTACTTTAAGTGTGCGAGAAACGAGGTGAGTTCTATGTACTGCTCATCCCCCATTGTCATAGTTAGGGTTCTAACTTTGGGTTTGTTTGAAGTTTCCCAAGCTATGTTGGTACTATAGATTTGAGAAGCAGTACTTTGAGCAGCTGAAGGAGAAGGGCATCATCCAAGTTCGCCCCTCCAACTGGCCAGAGTTGGTGGATCATGAAGATGTTTCAGTTGACAGTCCAAATGGTCCCGACAATAATAGGAAAGACCTAGAGCACAAGATGGAGACATTGATTTGGAAGATGAACATGTTCATTGTGTGTGTTATATCTGTTGTTTTTGGATCTGTTGTGATGTATGTTGCAATGAAGTGACAATATATGGAAAATGAAAG